ATAACAAGTCTGATACTATAAGAAATATTTAATTTATGGAAAAAAATTCCATCTCAAATGCAAGTCAATCACATAAATCAAAGAATTGATTAAAAAGTTCAACTACTAAAATTAAAAAGACAAAGAGTGGGTGAAGCTTAGAAAAGAGATGCTGGTTCAGTCCAAACTAGAATACTGTTCAGTTATTGGGTCATATCTTTGGGCAGACAAGAGAAGATAAGGATTGTCACCAAGTCAAAAGTTGGTCACCCACTTATCAATTAGTCATCAAATCAATAGTTCCCAATTTTGGCCTATAAAAGGAGGCATTTGCCATGCATTTAGGCATCTTGGTGTTCAGATCAAGATCATGCTCTTCCTTTCTCTCTTTGTATTTTTTATGCTTTGTTTTCATTAATATTAAGTTTATGCCTTTCATTTCCTTTCCTTTACTTAGTTAACTTTTATGTTCTTATTTTGTTTATCTATTTTGCTTTCTTTCATTATGTCTAGCTAAGTTAGTTATGTCAAGGTGAAAAGGTTACACTAATGGTGTGAGAATAAGTATAATGTAAACTTAATATGGACTTTAATGTTTGATACTAACATGTTTTATATTTGTTATCTTGTTTACTCTTTAATACTTTGCTTGTTAAATGATTAATCTTGATTTATGTTGTATAACACTTGGTACAACAAATGCTTGGCACTTTCATAGCCCATAATGTATGGTATAACCGACACCTGAGCTATGAAAGGAACTTGATTTGTTGTTAACATAAGTTATAATCATGAATGCTTGACGAGATTTACAAGTATTAGCATTAATTGAATAAGATGACTAATGTAATCATGTTAATAATATATAATCTGATTGGAACCTCCTTTTTGTGTGGTTTCCAATTCAATAATAAGAGTTTATATTATACTTGTTTGATATACCATTAGTGGAACCTCTAACCTTGACATTTGTTATTATTATTGTTTAATCCTTACATTAACCTTATAATCTCAAAATCTTATTTAACTTGTTGTTGTTGTTGTTGTTTATAATTTATATAGTTAACCTCCTTGTGGTTTGACCCTGGTCTAACCGGGTTATTTATTATTTTAACACTAGAAAAAAACATCAATATTTTAGTCGTGTCAACAAGCAATAATCCACATCGACCAAATTAGCACAAGAATTAACTGTTAAATGTTATGGTCCTTACCATGTAATTGTTTTATAATAACAAGTCTAATAATATAAGATAGTTTTAATTTATGGTAAATGCTCATTTTAAATATAGGCATATCTTGTTAACATAAGTTATAATTATGAATACCTGATAACATTTACAAGTATTAGCATTATTCAAATAAGATAACTAATGTAATTATATTAATAATTTATAATTCGATTGGAACTTCCTTTATGTGTGGTTTCCGGTTCAGTAATAAGAGTTTATACTATATTTGTTTGAAATATTATTAGTGGATCCTCTCACTTTGACATTTTTATTATTATTGTTTAATCCTTACATTAACCTTATAATCTCAAAATCTTATTCAACTTCTTGTTGTTGTTGTTGTTGTTGTTTATAATTTATATAGTTAACCTCCTTGTGGTTTGACCCTGGTCTAGCCGGGTTATTTATTATTTTGACACTAGAAAAAAACATCAATATTTTGGTCATGTCAACAAGCAACAATCCACATCGACCAAATTAGCACAAGAATTAACTGCTAAATGTTATGGTCCTTACCATGTGATTGTTTTATAATAACAAGTCTAATAATATAAGATAGTTTTAATTTATGGTAAATGCTCATTTTAAATATAGGCATATCTCACAATTAAAAGATTGATTGATGTGATTAACTATTGAAAGTGAAAGGACAAAGAAAAGGCTAAGCTTAGAAAAGAGATGCTGATTTAATTCATACTGGAACACTGTTCAGTTATTGGATCATATTTGGAGCTATAGACCTTGGATTTCACTTTGGTTTATATGGCTAGAAAGCTAAGACATAAGCCTCAAACATTCATGAGAGTTCAAGACTCAATTCTACCGTTTAGAAGTCCAAATCTTAGCATTAAAAGAGAAGTTTGAATATATCCTTTAGCACAGACATTATTCAGTGTTCAACCCATATCTTGAGTTCTAGAAGTTCAAATGAACAAATTTTTTTTTTGTTGGAAAGCTGAGACAAGTTTCTAGAACTTTCATGAAAACTATTTGTACAAAATATGATGTTAGCAATGATGTTTTCTATATATATAAAAAAAAGATAACGATTGTTACCAAGTCAAAAGTTGGTCACCCACTCAATAATTAGTCATCAAATCAATAGTTTTAAATTTTAGCCTATAAAAGGAGGCATTTTCCATGCATTTAGGTATCTTAGTTTTCATATCAAGATCATTTTCTTACTCTCTTTCTTTATATTTTTGCAATGCTTAAGTTTTTTTTCCATTAATCTCTTGTTTATATCTTTCATTTCCGTTATTATATTTATATAATCATGTTCTCCTCTTGTTTATCTATATTTCTCTCATTCATAATGTTCAGCTAAGTTTATTATGTCAAGATGAAAAGATTACACTAATAGTGTAAGAATAAGTATAGTATAAACCCAACATGGACTTTAATGTTTGATACTAACATGTTTTTTATTTGTTATCTTACTCACTTTTAATACCTTACTTGTTAAATAATTAATCTAGATTTGTGTTGAACAACCTATAGTACAACAAATATTTGGCACTTTCATAACCCAATTGTTCGGTATATCCGACACATATGCTATGAAAGAAACTTGATTTGATGTTAACATAAATAATCACTATGAATACCTGATAATATTTATAAGTATTGACATTACTCTAATAAGATAATTAATGTAATCATGTTAACAATTTATAATTCGATTAAAACCTTTTTTGTATGTAGTTTTAACAATTTATAATTCGATTAAAACTTTTTTTGTATGTAGTTTTCAGTAAAATAATAAAAAGAGTTTATACTATATTTTTTTAGAATATCATTATTAGATTCTCTAATCTTGATAATTTTTTTATCATTATTTAATTTTTATATTAATATTATATTTTAAAGTCCTCTTTAACTCTTCATCATCATCATAATTATTATTATTTATAATTTATATAGTTAATTTTTCTATAATTTAATCTTAATCTTATTAAATTATTTATTACTTCTGCACCTTTATATTTAGAAGGAAACATCAAGCGTATCATCAAGTGGTTGCGAAGGTGGATACCATGGCGTGTAAGATTGATTTGCCATCCTCTTCAATGATCCATCCGGTGTTTCACGTCTCCAAACTGAAGAAGCATGTACGAAATCAGGTCGCCCAGAGATCCCTTTCAAGGTCCTTCCTTGCAACCCAGGGCCATATTAGGAAGACGGATGATTCGGATAAGTAACAAGGCTGCCACGCAAGTTATCATTCAGTGGGAGAGGTTCCCTCCAGCGGATGCAACTTGGGAATTCATTGATAAGATAAAGCTACGATTTCCAGCTTTGAAGAGGGAGAAGAAGAAGATTGCTTTTCAAATTAAATATTATTACAAACTTACCTTATGCACTGTTTCTTTTTTCTTAAGACTTACCGTTGTGTTATTTCTTTAAGACGCACTGTTTGGTGTAGAATCTTTCACACTCCTGTAGGTGCTGGGGGAAAGGTCTAGAATTGTTATTTAGTATTATAAAGTGACAGATTGCACGGGAGAGGGCAGTTAATGAAATGAGGAATGAGTGGAATTCCTAGAATTCAGGAAGACCCCGAACTCACCCCACTCTGCTAGCTACCCCTCACAGCCTCCGTGGCTGAACACTGAACCATACATCGCCATTCCTGACTCTCCTCTTTCCGTTCATCCTTCACCATTTCTAGATCAAATCTAGATTGGTTCATTAAGTATTCCGTACAAGTCCAAGAAATCACATTCCTTTCCGGCATCTCACCAAACAAAGCTTCTCGCAGATGCCATCGCCCACAGTAACCCTAATTTATCAAACTGAGGAGTTTTCATGATTTCAAAAAAAGGTTGAATAAAATATAACACCAATAAGAGGTTTTTGCTCCTGATATTTGTGCGAAGAGATTAAGCATGAAAAATGAAGATCTTTCTTCAGATTTAATGCTTTTATGCGGGCGTGTCATGTCTTGGCGCGCGCGCGAGAGAGAGAGAGCATGTTTGGATGAGAAAAAGGAGGTTTTGTTAGAAAATTCTGCAAATTTGGCAAAAATATTTTTCATCTAATTTGATATTTTCTATTTATTTCAGAGGCAAATTATAATTTCTTAATCCTTTAATTGAAAACGAAAAACAGAAGGATTTTTAAGTAATTACACACACACACACACACACATATATGGAGAGAGAGAGGGAGAGAGAGAGAGTTCTATGTTTAGTCTTCACATGGTATTTATGATAAAATACCGAAAATTTTCCAGGTTGGAAAAGTCCCCGAAATCCTCCATTTCCTTCCGACCATCATATAACCTTGCAAGCGCATCGCATTGCAAGGACGCTGCCCTCCTCGCGCAACTCACATTTGTTGAGTCTACACGGGTTATTTTTGGGACAGACAAATCTGGTCCCAGCAATCATGGTAATCCCAACTCCAACAACATATATTTAAGTTGTTGTAGTTAAGAAGCTAGTAGTTGAACTTTGAATTATTACAGATCCACCTCAAGTGTGCGTGCAAATTCCAGATAGAGACTAAATACATGAGAGACCAATAGCAAATAACTACTACGAACGTGCTTGAAATTCACGGGAGGGAAGCGTGTGTTGTCTTGCGTGTGTGCGGGCTTCTGTAAGAAATTCCTAGTTTGTGGAAAATGTAATTTTTTAGGGAATATCAAATTTACATTCCCCGCTAAACCCATGATAATTTTTGTTGGCAACTTAAGAGGAAAAATTAAATATTAATACCCACTTCGCAGTATGATTTGCTACATCAGTAATGTCTGAAATGGCAGAATGCAGCCCGGCTCCGAGATTAGCAACAACCTTTTTTCCTTGATAAATTTAGTGGTTTATTGGTTTTCAAATGCCTATTTAGTAGTTCTACAAGGCCTGAAACAAGCGGCAACAATGCAGAGGAGGATGACTCACATGACAGGGGCCGCATTACAAAGACAATCGTCATTTTTAAACTAATGTTCTACCCAAAACTAGAATACTAACTTCTAATTATGTAGTTTTAATTTCTAAAATTATGAAAGCGGTAAACATAACTGACACAGCTCAAGGGGAAATTCGGAACACAACAGCTCAACAAGGAGAGGACTAACATAAAACTAGTCTTAACTTTTCACTCTCCTGGTGCAGATACACCTTGCTTCAGCCTCTCCCTCTTCATCTTCTTCTTTGAGACTGGCTTCTTCTTTCTCGGAGGAAGGGTCTTCTGCGCATATGTGTAAAGTACAAAGTTTCCAACTAGGAATGACAAGAGTAACCCCCCAATAACCAGCAGCACTATCAACCCCGGGTTTAACCCTTTAGGCTCAGCATCCTTGATCACATTCCCCTGTTCATCACAAAATTTAATTGTATTCTAGTGAGAAAATATCGTACAGCAAACAAGATGAAACCAGGAAGCAAGGACAAGCACAACCCACCAGTAAATATTCCAAGTAAAAACAACTTCAATCATATGAGACAATCTATACATGATACGGAAATCATAACCAAAAAAATTTTACCTTTAAAATCTTCCCTAGGAGGACTCATCCTGATACTTTCATAACAAGGCTGATTCACTATATAGTGGTGCAATTCAATAGAGTTCTAATGCCAATTCGGATTAATAATTGCCTAGGTTAAACCTGTTCAAGCATAACCCATCATCTTGTAGAGGGTATCAGAAAGCTCAAATACCCATATTTAGATATATAATTAAATTGATATACCAAATGTTTGATTCCAAAATAAATAATCATGGATGTAGAATAGGTTACATAGATGATATGGGAATTTAACGCAAACAGAATGCAGTATCTCCACACATCTTTACAACCATCTCTCCTCACAATTCCATCAAGTTATTGAGAACAATAACAGAACAAGCAATCACACAAAGTTCACAGCAAGTGACTACAATAACAAAACATGGATGGCATAAGAAATGGTCATCTGACAAAGCAAATGAATCGAAAAGGTGTGACAAGTAAATGACAATGGGTAATTCTGGTATCAAGCAATCTCTGATGCAAATTATTGAATTAGATTGTGGAGTGGCTTAAACTGACTTATAAAACAAGAAGTTCTAGTCGTCTTTATAAGTAAAACACTAACAAATCCTCTTACAATTCTGTCACATACTTGCATTCAGGCCTATGTCTACCAACAGTTTCGAATCAAACAGCGTGAGCTCAACTACATTCAGAGAAAATCTTCCATCTTCAACCAAAGCATATAAACCTAGGACCTCAAGGACGGTTTTTTTTTTTTTTGTTAACAAAACACAACCTTGGATTAAAACAAAAAAGCGATCTACTCACATATAATTTTAAACAAACACGACATGACTAGAACAAGAAAAATAGGATTTTTCACATAATCTCAAACAAAACCCTTCGCCTTTAGTTTTAATTAAAAGAAAAGGCTTTAAGATTTATAGATCTAATAAGCAATAAAAGAAAATCTTAACGAATAAGAAGCTAAAATGCCAAAAACAAGTACAGATCTCTGAATAAAAAAAGTATCTCTGACCTAAAATCCCAAAAATTTATTTCTATTAGTACAGATCTCGGGTTTGAATTTTCGAGAGAGAAAAACTGAAGTCTGTAAAAGCAAGTGGCGTACCATATTCTGGAAGGAAGGAGGAGATTGATCAGAGAACTCGAAATCGTCAGCCATGGCCGCTAGAGATCAGACCCTCGCTCCTCTAATTGGACTCTTTGAAGATTACAGAGAGGAATGATAGAACGGAAGGAGAGATGCGCAGATCTATAACCCACAAAAATTGAAGGAAGCTATTTATTTAAAGACTTCATTTTGACCCTCTAAATTTTAAGCGTTTTGTTTCAGTCACCGTTTGGTAGGGATGGCAATTTTACCTACAGGCGTTGGATACAGACCCGAGTCAATCTACGTAGGTAGAATATTTTTTGTTTGTTCAGGTTTGGGTTCGGATAAAAAAACATCAGATTTAAATAAATATGAATATTACTATTCCTTATCAAAATTAAATTATTAACCATATATATACATACAGAGCTTCCACTTTTCACTTGCCCCACTACCCTCTCAACAACTTTCGTTATCCCTCTCGCATTGTATTTCCGTTTCAAGGCCTCTTTCTCTCTCACACACACATTTCTTTTCTTTCTTTTAAGTCATATTTCCAGTCTCTTCTCCTTTAAAATAACTCAAAAGCCTTCTCTTTGTATTTTTTTTATTGAATGAGGGAATTATTAACTACTACTTTAAAAAAGCATGGACAAAGTACTCTAGCTTTTCCCATATTACATGCTTTTTTTTTTATTAAAGTGATAGAAAATGATATTTTAGAGGAAGAGAAAGTATGGGTTCTTATGCTTCAAAGTCAACCATGAAACTATAATTTTTTTTTTTTCAAGCAATGAGTATTTGGTGACTTCTTTCCAACTTCTTGTTCCTATTATTTTTTCTGGTTTTGTTGTTTATAGTATGCATAGGGATTATATGTGTGTTTCATTATATGTTGATGATTTTGGCTTATTTTTTAAAATTAAAATATAACAAGTTTTTTATTTTTGTATTCAATAAGTGATTGATCTCAATAGATTTTATTTTCTTACGTAAAACAAGATAGGAGCTTTGAAAGGTATACTAAGTTCTATCTATTAGTTCTAGTGAATTTGTTTTATTTCTTAATGTATTAGTTTTTGTAATTTTAGTTTATTTTTAAAAAGAAGGTATATTGAGTCTATTACTAACTTGTTGTATTGGTTCCAGTATTGATATTAATGGATTTTATTTCCTTAGATGCTTCATATATGTGAGACTTATCCCTATTTAGCTATAATCTTGTGTACAAATAAATTCGATCAATGCAAATTTAATTGATTCTTGAATTGCTCTGTTTATATCAATGCAAATTTAATCAAGTTAGGTTTAGATTAGGCTTAACTGGGTATGGAAGCACAATGAATATCAATTGAATAACTGAAACTCAATCAGGTCAAGTTTTGTTTATACTCGATCGAGTTTGAGTCTAGTTTTTTTTAATCAAGTTCAAGTATAGGTATTGTAAAACCCGATACATGGGTATTCATTGTCATCCATACCATTTGGTGTTGTATAGTGCTTTATCACTATTGTACTTGGATTTACAATTTTTTCATACAAAGTTACAAAAAGTTATCGAACTTCGTTTCAATGGGAATAGAATTCTCCGGTTATTCTCAATTGAAATACATTATTATGATAACTAAATTATATTAATAGCATATAACTAGATTGATGGCCAATAAGACACTAGAGGCTAGATCAATTTTGTTTCTCACTAAAAAAAATTTGAGATATGATTATCTTTTTAAAGAAGTAAGGAGATTCGATAACCAGGTTAAATCCTGATTAATTTGATAATATGATTAAAAAATAAGGCAGCAACAAAAACATTAAAAATATTGTCTCAGGCAAAGCCGTGTTATCATGTGAAACTCATAACTTGATATATGAGATCGTGATAACCCTATAAAAGTATGATACAAAAAAAAATGTGAAAAATTCATAAAAATAATGTTGAATGACTATATCAAAAAAGAAAATAAAACAAAAAGGATGTCAACATTGATTAACTTTTTAAACTTATAACCTGGGTTATCGACCGAAAGCATTATATATTAAAAAAAATATGAAACTCAATCCCTAGTAAATGAAATATTAAAGGATTAAATGGAAAAACAATTACAAAAAATAACTCTAAAATAAAAAATAACAATTAAAAGAATGAGAGTTAAAATCAAAATAAAATATAAATTAAAGGGAAACAAAAAAATTTTAATTTGAGAGTTAAATTGAAAATAATAAAACATTAACAAAAGAAAAAAATTAAAAGAATGAGGACCAAAACAAAAACATATAGTATAAACTTGAATTGAATGGTGAAATTAAAAATAATAAAACTTTTATAAACTAATCAAGGAAAAGAATCAAAAATTCAAAAAAAAAAGGATCAAGTTGAAAACATTAATATAAAACTAATCAAGGAAAAGAATCAAAAATTAAAAAAAAAAAAGATCAAGCTGAAAACATTAATATATGATAAAAAAAAATTAAACATGTAGAATTTTTTAAGTTGTTTTTTTTACATAAAAAGCTCATAAGTATAACTAAAAAAAGCTTATGTATACATCTAATTAAATAAATCAAGTATCATTATATATAGAAATGAAAAAAAAAAGGTTATTAATGCTAAATAAAAATAAATTTAAGAAATAAATTTAAATCAAGATATTTAATATTGCAACATGAGTTATTTACCTGGTTGTGTTTAATAAATTTGTTTATTAAAATCAATTTGTTATATAAAATGACACACACTTGAAATTTATTGAATAAAATAAAAAGAAAAAAAGATTATGCAAGGCTACACATATTACAAATATTATAAAAGATAAATATTTTTATTTTGAAAAAATAAATTTAACATATAAAAAATATAAAAAAAATTATAGATGAATCATACTAATCTCTTCAAAAATTAAACATATCTAATATAACAAAAAATAATAATTGATATTTAAAAATACTAAATGAGCAAAAAAAATCACAATGAGTAAATTACAAACTTAAAAATTCTTTTATAAAAGAAATAAAAAAAGATTTAAATTATGAGAGAGAGAGAGAGAATGAGGCTAGGTGCTGCTGGGATTTTTTTTTTAATAAGTCCATGTCTTGGCCCTAATTTACTTTCAAAAGAATAAACGACCCGCCATCTAGAATTTTTAGATTCCAACTACTATAGTAGCTAAAAAAATAATATTACTATATTTTACTTCTAAAAACCCATTTCCAATCAATTTTTGACCTAAAATACTTAAAACAAATATCATAAGAATCTTATTAAACCAATTTATGACCTCAAAAACATGAAAAACAATATCAAAATTCAAAATCAACTCAAAACCAAAAGTCTTTTGGAGTTCAGATCTTTTTTAATCATTTTCAAGGTTAAAAAAAAAACATATAATCTCAACTCACATTATCATACTAAACCATTTGGCACAAAAATCGACCATTTGATGGTTGGAATCATCACAACAACTTTTTCTTTCTACACTAGAATTCAGCCACCCAAAAAGGACTTCAAAATGAGAAAATAAAGTTTGGTTTTAAAATTAATTTTTCTAAAATTAACAGAATCAATCACCAATAACTAAAAAAGATAGGGAACTAAAATAAATTTTAAAGTTGTCATCTATGCTACTTGTCTTTTCCACTTCAATTCCTCTGTCTTTCAATTCAACTTTCTCTCCTAAAAAATAATGCAATTGGGTGTTAATATTTGCTCAAAATAGCTTAATTGTGTAAAATAAAAGTTCGAGGATTAAATTGGAAATTTAAAAAAATTTGTTGCTCCAAGCGTGAGATAATGAAAAGTAATTGTGTCATAATAAAAGAAGAGGCCTTTTTAGTTTCTTTTAATTTAACTATTTTTTTAACTTGTATCGATTGAAATTTTAGCTTAAAGTGTTTGTCGGTTTTTGTTTCACCCTTTCCTATGAGAAGATATAAGGCGTCGCTATATATTTTTTTCACCCTTTCCTATGAGAAGATATAAGGCATTGCTATATATTTTTTATTGGTGATGATAATTGTAAACTTTTATGAAACTTTGTTTCAATAGGAGTACAAATTTTTATTTCAAGTCATTCAATGTTTCTTAATTGAAATACATTGTTATGATAGCTAAATTATGTTAATAGCATATAATTTCACTCATTTTTTAAGTTCATATTGATTGGATTTTTGGCCTAAGAAGCAAGTCAATTTTTTTTTTCAGTGTTTACTATAAGAAAATGTACAAGCATTACAATTTTTTTTGTATTGGTGATGATAATTATAAATGTAATTCTATGTTCTACTATTATTATTTAATTCTAACTGTATGGCCGACGAAATCAAATTTGTGTTATTTCCTATAAGGATTTCAATTCAATGTTCATGCTATAATATCATTCAATTATGTTAATCTATAAAAAATGAAGTGTTAGTAGGGTTTAAAAGGTTTTTAGCTGTAACAATCCATATGGCAAGATTTAATAAATTTTCATGGAGTTTATAAGAATATGATTGAGATAATTGTTAGTAATCTAAAAAAGTACATGAAGAAGAAAGGCATGCTAAAAGATATAATTCTAAGATATGATTCTAGGGAGTTATAGTGTTTGTGAGGTTGGAAGACACAATATATTCACTCCATTTTACCAGACATTTCAATCTGCCATAAACTCAAAGGATTATGAATCTTCAAGGCTCTCAACGCCTCAATTATTGATGGATATTTTAATGTCTATAATGAAACTTTACTTTTAGGCTTTTCCAAGCTTTGTCTTTGTTTCATTGCTCTGTTAAAAGAAATCATACATATATGTTTATTACTATCTTAGGAATGTTTGATTTTATTGCTTTTTTCATGCTTTGACCTATAACGAAGTGCGAACACATAAATAGTTTCTAATAAAGTTGAAAAACTTTAAAAGTATATAGGTTTCTCTATAACTATTTAATAGGTTGAAATTATTTTTATTTGGTTTTGACTAATGATGCATGTTCTCTTGCAAAACAATTCTCCTACAGAACATAGGACCCTCTAATACCTAAATTAGCAAGCATAGAAGAAAAATAATAAATAGAAGAATGAGAATAAAAATGTAAGAGAATTTATGTTATGGTTTAATTATATGGATTTGTTATATTGTCTTTCATAATTGGTGGGTTTTTTATATATATACACCACAGGCCATATGTGTTTTTGTTATAGACTATAGAATATAAAATCTATTTGTAGCAGTAATCAT